TAAAGCGCAGACTGGGGGGGGGATTCTATAATAGGTGTCGGTGCAGATTCTATAATAGATGATGGTGAACAAGGCGGAGGGACAAGCAACCCAGATGGACAGAACTCAAGTGAGAAGTTTTACTGGAAAAGGAAAAGGGGGAGGGGAAGGAAAGAGAAAGGAGGTAGAGAGACAGAGAGAGGGGGCAGAAGAGAAGAGGGAGACAGGAAAGTCCTGTCTGCCCCAGGGAACGGTGGGAAAGAGAGCATAAGCTGGCAGGGGTCTGAACGTTCTGTCTGTTTTTAAAGGGGCCCTTAGAACTACCTCTTCTGCCTCTGTGATTCACTGTTGTTCCTTTCATTGGTGTTTTGAGGCTGTGCCTAGCTAGTGAGGGCTGCTGTTACCAGGCTGGAAGCCAGTGTCAGATAGTATGGTGCTTGCTGCCCAAACAAAAGGAACTGAGTTTGGAGTACCTGCAATTCCAGCACTAGAAGGTGGGGACAGACGGGTCCTAGACTTGCTGGTCAGCCAGCCTGGCCAACTGGTGAGCTCTAGGATCAGTGAGAGAGTCACACACCCTACACCATACATATACACCGCACGCACACAAACACACACACACACTACACCATACAAACACCACACACACACACACACACACACACACACACACACACACACCAATCTGCATCCCACGGCCTATAAACAAATCACAAACACATGCCAAGGCCTTGCAGCAAGATTTTGTCTATAATCTGAGCAGGGCATGGTACAGGGCTGGAGGTGAGCTTTTGTCCTCCCCCCCCCCCCCACCTACTGCTCATGGAGCCATGAGGTTTCCTGTGCCTACAGGTGTTTTGTTTTATGGCAGGTGGGGTGTGCGGAACATAAAGCCACCTGACGCTCGGCTATCCATCAAATGTCTCCATCTCTCCCACCCACCCCGGTCCGGATCTGGGTGTCCTCTCAGGATACTGTTTTTATTTGTCTTGCCTAGCTGCCTCCATCAGTTTCACCTTCCGTGGCTGACCACCTCTGCCTTTGGGACCCATGAACACCTGTTCCCCCCCCCCCCAAAGCCCCAGCCCTTCCTACTTCCTGTTCCTGTGTGGTTGGCTGAACTTCTTAGTCACTTAGGACACAGATGGAAAGTTTTAGGGTTTTTACACTTCCCCTCCTCCATCCCTGTTTCTCCCAGTGCAATTTAGTGAGAGCAGGAAGTAGGGAGGGGAGGATGGAAGGGGTTGAGGGTCTGGATGGCTGGCCATCTGCTTCCTATCAGACAAGCTGGGCAGGAAAACAGGGAGGGAAACCTGGCTAAGGCTATGTGTACAAGGTAAGCACTTGCTTCTCTCCCGGCCTCAGTTTACTTGGAGTCTTCCAGAGTGACTGGGAGTCTGGCATGAGGTCATTCATGGGCAGGAAAGCACTTCTGGTTAAGACAGGTGCTTATCTCTGCTATTATTTAGCCCGAAGCCTTCATGGAGTTTTCAGAGCCTTGTATGGAAAGTCCGGAGGAGGCGTGCTCCAGGCAGAAACTATCCCTGTTTGTGTTGCTGGGGTGGTTCCCACCTGGGGGAGGTGCAGGAAGCCACCTCCTAGGAAACAGGAGATGCCTCATGCACCCCCTGCGCCCTGAATTCAAGCATCCCCCCACAAACCTACTATGTGCAAGCCCCATGCTGAGTTCTGAACTTGCTTTTGAATCTTTGTTTTAGAGACAGGGTCTTGCCTCCGGCTTGCACAGGGCTCCCTAATGGAGACCTACTTGCCTGCACTCAGTCTTCAGCAACACACTCCTGCCTCTGCCTCTGCTATTGCCTCTGCCTCCTGAGTGCAGGCATTATAGGTGGGCACCACCACGCCCATCTTTGTTCTTATTTTTCTCCCTCTTCTCTCATTTTCTCCTCTCTTCCCCTCCCTTTTTTCTCCCTTTTTCTTGCTTCTGCCTCAGTTTTTGGCGTGTGTTTGAACACCATCTCATGAGCCCCCAGACTGACCTTGCTTTCACTTTTAGAGTTCTGGGGTTACAGGTGTGTACCACCATGTCTAGCCTATGTGGTGTCATGGATGTGGAACCCCTGGGGCTCATTCATGCTATGTAACCATAATGGCAACAGAGGTATGTCCCCAGCCCTTTATTATTATTATTTGTGATACAGAGTCTTGCTATGAGCTGAGGTTGCTATACAGAGTCTTGCTATGAGCAGATTCATAGTCAGTGAAAGGGGTTTTCGATGAAAGTGTCTCAATGAGTCCAGCGGTGGTAGTGCATGTCTTTAATCCCAGCACTGGGGAGGCAAGGCAGGCAATGTCTGTGAGTTCAAGGTCAGCCTAGTCTACAGAGCTAGTCCTACCTAGGACAGCCAGGACTACACAGAGAAACCCTGCCTTGAAATACACACACACACACACACACACACACACACACACACACACACAGAGTATCTCAGCAGTCAGAGGCCAATGTGTGTGATGGTGGGCTTTATAGGTGCATGGAGCTTACACATAGGGAAAATACAGCTGCACTGACAGCTGCTGATGCCATTATGCCCAACAGTTGATCTCATCTTGCCTCAGCCTACCCAGTGCTGGAATTACCCTCATGCTTAGATAACTTTATTCTTTGGAACAGTTTACCCAGTGAGCCCTGTCTGGTCTTGAATTTGTGATAGTCCTTCTGCCTCCCCCTCTCAAAAGCTGATATGACAGGCATTACTGCCACACCTAGCTGGAGCACTTCACTTGACTAAGACATTGCTCTAGGCTCCAGGAGCCCCCAGGTCAGAAAGGGGCATGGAAGTGCATCTTCAAGGCTGTAACCTCCACTTTGTAGCATCAGGGATACCTGCCCCATTGGTTGTTCTAAACCTGGGGCTCATTAGGTGGCCCAGAGTCAGTCTCCAATGAACTCCAAGTACTGAGCACTCACGGACCACATGACATGACAGAAGAGGGAAGATGGCCTTCTTTAAGATCGAGGATTATGGTGCACACCTTTAATCCCAGCACTGGAAAGGCAGAGGTAGGTGGGTCTCTGTGATTTCCAGGCCAGCCTGGTCTACAGCAAGTTCCAGGACAGGCTCCAAACCCTGTCTGGGTCAGAATTGGACTCACAGGCAAGCCTAGGATAGCAGGTGGAGTTCTGGATAGTGATCAGGGAAGGATCTATGGCAGCTATGGTCTTCGTGGTGTTTACCCCGCTGGTAAGAAAAGAAACATAAGCTGGGCAGAAGTGGCGTAAAGTTCAAGGCCAGCCTGGTCTACAGAGTGAGTTCCAGGACAGCTAGAGCTGTTACACAGAGAAACACTGTATTGAAAACAAACAAACAAACAAAAAGCCCAAACACACACACACACACAGATGCACACAGGCATGCACGCACGTACACAGCAGGCCAGGGCAGACAAAAGGAGCCCAGGTCTGGTTATGATTATGGGGAGCTACATCAATGACTCCCTCTTCCAGTTCCTCTCTGCCTGAACTATGAATCTACCCTTCTCCCTTTTTTGCATTTCCCAGATGCCTTTGAGATACATGTGATCCCTTCTCAGCCCGTCCTCAGAAAGACTTGTTCATCTCTGTCCTTTGTACCCAAGCAGGGTGGTGGCGAGGGAGCTTTTGAAACTACCCCCTCCCCATACCCCCACCCCTGAGGCCAGTCTAGGATCAAACTAAATTCCTTGTCTTGCAAAACATCTATCTGACCCCCCCCCTTGCTGTCCCCTCCCTGAAATGTCCTCTTTGACCCAGTCCCCACAGTCTTGCACAGTCCCCCGGAGAGGGTGCGTGTTTCTTAATGTAATGTCCCCTAGAACTGTGCCAGGGAGCACCCCTTCTCTATCGAGCTTCCTGTCTGCACCCCTGGTTGGAGGACCCCTTTCTCTTGGAAGTCTCCAGGGACTTTGTGCCCAGGTTGGCTTTTATGGGAATGACTCCCTTGTCTTGGAAGAGCAAAGATCAGTTTACAGGATAAATCATCTTTCTGTAGCCTGGTAGGGTTTTTTTTTTTTTTTTTTTTTAATTCTTCTTTACCCAGTTCTGGCCAAGTAGGCTAAGTCCCAGGAAGGAAGAGCAGGCAGAATTTTGTCCCTAGCACCACCCCTAATTTTAAATTAAATTTACTTATGGCATTTGTGCATCCGAGGACATGTGTGACTCCTATCATGTAGGTCTCAGGGATCAAACCCAGGTCCTTGCGGCTTGGCAGCAAGCACCTTTACCCACTGAATCCTCTCATCAGCCCTTCTGTGTCTCTTGTCCTGGCCCTAAGTGCCTGGCCTCTAAACCCTGCGGCATTCTGGCTGGGTGGGGAAATCAATCACATGAGAGGGAAATGAGGGCAGCAGGTGATGTGGCTCCTGAGTCCCCAATCCTCACCCCCGCAGGTCCTCATTTCCCCACACCAACTTCCTCTGGCTAATAGTAGGAAAGTTGCTGTTAAGGCAAAGTACGGGTACTGGCACCATAATGATAATAATAGCCATGATGGCAGTGATAAAATTGAGAGGGTAAAAGCAACAATAATTAAGACAGGGTTTCTCTTGGACATTCCCAGGCATTATCCTCAGATTTCCCTGTGAAGGGTCTCTGTTTTCTTTTCTCACTGGAGTCCAACATGAGTCTTGGGGACCCTTGCCCTCAGCTCTGAACCCTAGGTAGGCTTGGCTGTTTGTTTCTCCTAGTGTCCCCACCCGGTGAGCGCCCAGGTGCTTTTGGCTGGTGACTCAGTGTCTGACTGACCTCAGCATGAGCCTGGGGGGGCTGGGGGAGATGATAGTTTCCTGTGATACCAGTAGGTGACTCAGGGGCGCAGGATTGGAGTCTCAGAACGTCTTTGTTGGCCCAGGTTCAGGAATCCAGAGAAACTGGTCAGGAGGGAGGCCTTGGGGACTGAAACCCCTCCCCCTGCCTCCGCCCCTCCTCCACGGTGCTTTAACTGCCGCACCTGCGGCCTCCTATCCTAGTTGCAGGTGCGGCCAGGAAGGCGCTTCATAGCTGGTGTAACCGACTCAGCACCTCCGGCTGACTTCGTGGCCCTGAGGCTCACCAGAAAAAGTTTTCTCAGCAGCCCTCGGACTTCTATAGCTTCCAGAGACAGAGATACTTTTTTAGTGATCTCCAACCTTGACCCCTGCAGAGGCTGAGCGATGGCGTCCATGGGACTACAGGTGTTGGGAATCGCCTTGGCGGTCCTGGGCTGGCTGGGCGCGATCCTGAGTTGTGCGCTCCCCATGTGGCGGGTGACCGCCTTCATCGGCAGCAACATCGTCACGGCGCAGACCAGCTGGGAGGGCCTGTGGATGAACTGCGTGGTGCAGAGCACGGGGCAGATGCAGTGCAAGGTGTACGACTCACTGCTGGCCCTGCCGCAGGACCTGCAGGCCGCCCGAGCCCTCATGGTCGTCTGCATCCTCGTGGCAGCGGTGGGAATGCTTCTCTCAGTGGTAGGGGGCAAGTGCACCAACTGCATGGAAGACGAGACCACCAAAGCCAAGACCATGATCGGAGCCGGCGCGGTGTTCATCGTGGCAGCCTTGCTGGCTATGGTGCCTGTATCTTGGACCGCACACAACGTCATCCGCGACTTCTACAATCCTCTGGTAGTCGCCGGGCAGAAGAGGGAGATGGGGGCCTCGCTTTACATCGGCTGGGCAGCCTCTGGGCTGCTGCTCCTGGGAGGAGGCCTCCTCTGCTGCAGCTGCCCACCTCGCAGCAACGATAAGCCCTACTCCGCTAAGTACTCCGCCGCCCGCTCTGCTCCTGCCAGCAACTATGTGTAAGGTGGGCCACTCTGCTATGTTTCCCATTACCTCCGTTATTTTTTTTCTCATGAGTTCACAACAGCCTGTGATCTCCTCACTTCCCTCGGGACCTGCCCTGCTATGGGCCACTAACTGCTGGGAACAGCAAGCCGGGATTGTGCTAAATTACTGGCTAAAGTAGCCCTTGCGGAGGAACCATCTGCCCCGCTTGGACGTATCTCAAGGCTCCTTACTCCTGCAAGGATGGATGTTAAAAAAAAAAAAAAAAAAAAAAAAAAAAAAAAAAAAAATTGTTGCCTCCGTTCAAATTGCTCATGGATACAGGACTCAAGGCAGAAGTTGCTAGGCACTGCAGTGAAGCCGGGAGCTGGGTCCTGCTGGCCGGGATAGCTCAGCTGAGACTTTGGGCCCTCCAGCGGGTGTCCTGCTCATGTTAGCCCCTCCAGTGACCCTTTTCTATCCTCCTCACTCTCTGCACACATCTGTTAAGCCGGCGCTACTCTTGCCCTTATGCCCCATGTTTCCAAACACACCTGGTCCAACCTGGAGCCTTGGTGTGACAAGATGACTGTGACTGAGGGGGCTTGAGGGCCGGATGGGTTCTGCCGTGCAACCCCAGTGACTGACAATGACTGGGACCTAACCCACCCACCTACCCTCCAAATGGAGTTCTGTGGAGTGGATGGACGGGTTTGAGGGAAGGGCGGAGGTGGATTAAACTGGTTTGGGAAGTGCTGGTGCTGGGGACCTAGAAGCAGCCCAGGCTGTCCCCACCCCTTTCTGGTACTGTCTTACTAAATGTCCTGCTCTCTGCACCCCCTCCCTCCTCAGAAGGACCCTTGGGCCTCTTGAGCCAGCCCCTCTGAATTCCTTACCCTTGTCAATTTCAAGGGCGTTGGTCAGTCTGCCGAAGGTATGGGGGGGCGATGGCGTTGCTAGAGGGGGAGTCTCCCAAGACTCCTGCCTTCTCTGTGGTTTGTTTTGTAATTTAAGAACGTCTATTCACAGCTGTAATTATTATTTTCTACAATAAATGGCACCTGTGTACAGGAAAGGTCTGGGCTGTTCTCTGTATCTGTGGATGGGACAAGGCTGGAGGGATGGCTGGGGGTCCCCAGGAGACCTTGACGGTGTGAGAAGTTGAAGTGATTTCAAGGGCTGAGGATGCAGCTCAGCTGATACTTTGCCTGGCATGCCAGAAGCCCCAGGTTCCATAGTTACCCCAAATAAACCAGGTGCAGAAGCAAGAGGATTAGAACTTGAAGGTCATCTCCCACTATTTAGTAGGTTCAAGGCTAGCTCGAACCTGTCTCCAGTGGCTTCAGAGGATTGTAAAAATTAGAACTAATCTGGGGGGGGGGGCCACCATGTTTGAGCCCTTTGTTTGCTTTTTTCATTTTTGAGACAGGGTCACAATAGAGCCCAGACTGTAAAACACAAGGCTGTCCCCTGTCTCAACCTCCAGTGTACTATGATGGCAAGCCCTCCAGAAAACCCTGGAGATACAGGGTTTCCTAACAAGAACATGTCCTGTGTATGTCCAGGACTGTGGGGGGGAGAGTGGGGACTTCAGAAGGGACAGCAGACCAGAGCAACCAGATCTGAGATCTGTCACTAACCTCCTTACTCTTGTCTCCCTTTCTCTGAGCAGCCGGGCTGGCCTGCTTATCAACTATAGGCCACTCTGCAGGCGCCACCATCCTGCCTTTGTTGTCCCTTCCCTAAGCCTGGAATGTCCTTTCCCCTACTCCTGAACCCTTCTGGTCTTGCAGGTCCAGTCTGTGGCCTCCTCCCTAGAGAATCCTCCTACAGCCCTGGAATGTCCAAAGGTAGAGAGTCCTTAAGCCCACACCCGCACTGCCCTAGGGCATCCTGGGCCAGGCCTGGGCTTTCCCATTCCAGTCCCTTTAGGTTTTTATTGTTTTGAGAAAAGGTTTGAATGTAGCCCAGGCTGGCCTCCAGCTGAGGATAACCTTGAACTTCTAATCTTCCTGCTTCCACTCATCCAGTGCTGGGATTGGAAATGTACACCATTGTGCCTGATCTTTCAGGTGCTCAGGCTGGAAGATTTATGTTGGAGGGCCCTTGTTACCAGGTCTGGGTCCCCACTTTGTTTTTTTTTTTTTTTTCTTTTTTGGTTTTTTGAGACAGGGTTTCTCTGGATTGCTTTGGAACCTGTCCTGGAATTCACTCCATAGACCAGGCTGGCCTTGAATTCACAGAGATCCTCCTGCCTCTGCTTCCCGAGTGCTGGGATTAAAGAAAGGCGTGTGCCACCACCACCCAGCTTTGCTTTCTGAGAGAGGGTCTCATGTATCCTTGGCAGAATTCAAACTTGTTTCATGACAAAGGATGGTTTTGAATTCCTCATCTCCTACCTCTCCCTCTCAGGTGCTGGATTTATTTAGTGCTGGGATGGAGCCCAGGGCTTCATATACACTTGGAAGCTTGTCAGTTTTCTAGTTTTAAGCCCCAGCCCACACAGTTCCTTTGTGGAAAGGGAAACTGAACCCTTCCCTGTGTGGCTCAGATGCACTTCTGAGGTCAGAAGACAACCTCATGGGGGTCAATCCTCTCCAATTTCTCCATGGGTCTGAGGGTGGCCCATATCGCCAGGTTGGCACATCAGGTACCTTTGCTGGCTGGGTCATCTCACTGGCCCCCTTATTGCCTCTTGACTCCATGGGTATAACCACATGTTCATAATGAAGTTATCAAAGTGTTTTAAAGTCGGGTGTGGAGGCTTGTGATAAGAATCCAAGCACTCAAGACCGTCCTTCATTACATAGCCAGTTTGAGGCCACTCTAAGCTATCTGAGACTTTTAACAGTCTCCATTTTCCTTCCATAGTTATTTCTTTCTCCATCTGTGGTACAGGGCTTCCCATGTGAGGCAAGGGCTCTACTGTTGAGTCACCCACGCCTGCCCCTAGTTAAAACATTTAAAAACTAGTTGGTTGAGCATGGTGTCCCACACCTTTAATCCTAGCACTCAGGGCAGAGGCAGGCAGATCTCTGTGAGTTTGAAGCCAACCTGGTCTGTATGGAGAGTGCCAGCCTGGCGAGGTTACATAGTGAGACCCTATTTAAAACCAGAAACAACAACTCTCCCTCCTGCAAGGTGCAGGGATGTACCTTCCTGGATAGAGGGCTAGCCGAGCATACCAGAGGTTCTGGGTTCGAGCCCAGCACTGTGTAAATTGAGTCCTATAGGCTCACAGGCCTGGAAAGTAATCTTAGATGTTTAGTGGTGACTGCTGGAGAACCAGGGCTCTAAGCGCCTGCTAGGCTTCAACCAGTTAAAGGTCCCCCAGCCTATGTTTGTAACAAAGGAGCTGTTACATCCTTTTCCTTTCTTGGGCTTGTGATATGGCTCCACAGGTAATGGTGCTTGCAGCCAAGCCTGATGACCTAAATTGCATTCCCAAGCCTGTATATCATTCTGCAAGTTGTTCTCTGACTTCTGTAAGCATGTATAGCCTGGCACATGAACACATTCATACATACATATACTGTAAGGAATATATAAATGAAAAAAATTAGACTTTTTTTTCTATTATTTGCATCCCTGTGCTGGAGGTAGAATCCAGGGCTTCTAGGCAACTCTACCACTGCTGAAGCAAACTTTCAGCCCCTCACTGGGGGATTCTAGCAAATGTTCTACATCTCTAGATCTCTTTTTAAATACTTATTTTTATTTTATATGCATTTGTGTTTAGTCAGATCTCCTGGAAGTGAAGTTATAGATATTTGGAGCTGACATGTGACTGGGAATCGACTCATCTGGAAGAGTGACCTTTGGAAGGGCAGTCAGTGTTCTTAACAGCAAAGCTATTTCTCCAGCCCTTCTAGACCTTCATTTTTATTTATTTATTTTGAAATATAATATCAGACTGTCACCAAATGGTCCAGGTTGGCTTAGATTTCACTATGTAGCCCAGGCAAGACTTGGACCTCTGCCTCAGTTTCTCAGGTGGCTGGGGTCTATATAACCAGGACAACCTAGAAATAGCTGTTTCAGGTTGGCCTAAAATACTTAGCTTCCTGTACTAGCTTCCCATGTCATTATCTATCCCACCCCATCCCTTTAGCTTACACAGATAACATTGGGTGGGTTTGGTGGGGGGGGCAAGACAATTGTTTACTTTGCTCTCTTCTATCCGGGTTTGGATGATGTAGCCTTGCCTAGCTCAAACTGGTTGAAGTCACTAAGTTCTTTGCTTGGGGCTATACAAGTGTGCAATGAAAGTTATTTTGACATCAAGGGGCTCTAGACTACAATCTCAGATCAATTTAAACCACAGTTTTCTGAATATGCATCTCCAGGCACCTTTTCCTTTTCCCACAAATCACATCACCCCATTTCTCTGTCATCAAGTCTTTTTTTTTTTTTTTTTTTTTTTTTTTTTTTTTTTTTTTTTTTTTGTATTGTTGCTCTGTGTGTGTGTTTGGTGGAGGGCAGAGGACAACTTGCTGGAGCTGGTTCTTGCCTTCTGTCATGTGAGTCCTGGAGACTGAACTCAAGTTACCCTTTGAATTTGGTGCTTTGTCTCATAAATACCTTGAAATTCCTGGTACAGAGGCAAGTGAGAGACAGTCTGTGTGTGTGAGCATTCGTGCCTCTGTGTGTGTGTGTCTGTGTGCATACACACATGCGCACGTGTGCATGCTCCTACTTGTTGCATGTAAATGTACACACATACAGGTATGAAGATACATACCATGTATCCTTGCTCACTTTTTTTGTTTGTTTGATTGGCTAGTCTGGCTGGCCAGTGGGCTTCAGGGATTCTGTCTCTACAACCCTGGCACTGGGTTACAAATATCTGCCACCATGACTACCTTAAAAAACAATGCTAGCCAGGCAGTGGTGGCGCACACCTTTAGTCCCAGTACTAGGGAGGGGGAGGCAGGGGGATCTCTGTGAGTTTGAGGACAGCCTGGTCTACAAGAGCTAGTTCCAGGATAGCTTCCAAAGCCACAGAGAAACCCTGTCTTGAAAAAAACCAAAACAAAAAACAAAAAACAAAAAAAACAAAAAAAAAAAAAAAAAAAAAAACCACACACACACACACACACACTCACAAAAAACTGAATGCTGGGGCCCTGAACTCAGGACCTCACACCTACATAGCAAGTACTTTATAGTCTCCTCCATCTTCCCAGCCTGTTTCTTATTCATTCATTCATTCATTCATTCATTCATTCATTCATTCATTCAGTTTTACTCTGTATACTTGGCTGGCCTCAAACTCAACAGAGATCTGCCTGCCTCTGCCTCCCTACTTCTAGGATTATAGGCATAAGCCACTACCACCCCACAGTTATTTTTTATTATTTTTTAAATTGTGTGTGTGTGAGTGTGTGTGTGTGTGTGAGAGAGAGAGAGAGAGAGTGCAGGTACCTGCTAGAAGGCTAGAGCTATCCCCTGAGGCTGCACACACAGGTAGTTGTGGGTGCTGGGAACTCTGGTCCTCTGGGAGATCAGGAAGCACTGTTAATCCCAGAGCTGTTTCTCCAGTCCCTGAAGTTATCATTGTAATTATTGTGTGTGTGTATGTGTGTACATGTGTATGAGGGTGTCAGTCCAATCACTGCTTGTGTGTGGAGGTCAAGGACAACATAGTGGGATCAGTTCTCTCTTTCCAGCTTTATGTGGGTCCTGGGAATCAAAGTCGGGTCACCAGCCCTGCAGGACATCAGCCTTAGCCTCCCAACCCATCTCACCAGCCCTGTCATTTTTTAAATGTTAATTACATTTATTTACTTACTTATTGTGTGTGTGTGTGTGTGTGTGTGTGTGCATATGTTGAGTGTATGTTTTCCATAACACATGTATGGAGGTCAGAAGTCAAACTTGTGGAACTGTTTTTCCTCTCACAGTGTGGGTCCTGTGAATTGAACTCAGGCTTCAAAGTAACTGCCTGTACCTGCCGAGCCTATTTGTCAACTCTGTGCTTTGTTTCTTTGATACAGGATCTCATGAATCCTAGGCTGGTTTTGAACTCTGTATGTAATGGAGACTGGCCTTGAATTCCTGATCCTTCTGTCTCTACTTCATGAGTGCTGGGATTGCAGGTATACACTACCATACCTACATTGAGTTGAGGTTTTAAAGTAAACTTCTCTTAAAATTCATTTTATTTATTTGTAGTCAGACTTTTATTTGGGCCGCCAGTTCATAAATAATGACATGGAGGCTTATTATTAATAATGAAAGCTTAGTTATTAGCTTAGGCTTGTCCCACTAGCTCATAACTTAAATTAACCTCTTTTATTAATCAATGTTCTTCCATGTGGATTGGTTATCTCTACTCTGTACCATATGTCTGATGTCGTCGGTGTCTCCCTGGAGTCTCCATACAGACCATCCTGCTTCCTCTGCATCATCGGGCTGGTGACTTGTTTCTTCTTCCCAGAGTTCTCTCTGTCTCCTGAAGTCCTGCCTAGCTATTGGCCATTCAGCTCTTTACTAAACCAGTCAGAAGGTGCCTTGGTAGAGAGGTATCTTCACAGTGTAAACAAATATTCTGTAGCATTTATTTAAAATTGTGTTTTGTTTTCATTTAAAAAAATTTTATGTGTATGAGTGTCTTGCCTGCATGTATGTATGTGCACAATGTGTGTGCCTGATGCCTGCCAAGGTCGGGAAGAAGACATTAGACCCCCTTGGACTGGAGTTACATTTGTGAGCTACAACATGGGTGCTGGGAATGAACCAGATCCTCTGCAAGAGCAACAGTGCTCATCCTCTGTGCAGACTTGACTATCCTTGCTGTGTAGACCAGGCTGGCCTCCATCTCAGAGGTCCTCCTGCCTCTACCTCCTGATGGCTGGAATTAAAGGTGTGTGCCACCACAACTGGTACAATGAGTGATTTTAACTGCTGAGCAAATTCTCCAGCTCCCTTATTTTATTTTTTTGAGACAAGGCCTCGTAGGTAGCCCAGGTTGGCCTTTAACTCATGATCCTCAAGTGCTATGAACATACATGTGAAGGCTGGTTAAACTAACACCTTAGTATTTTTATCTATTATTAACTATTTAGGTGTGTAGAGCATGAGTACATGTGTGAGTCCCACAGTAAATATGTAGAGGGCAGGGGACAACTTGTAGGGATCATTTCTCTCCATTTACCATGTGGATCCTGGGGGTCCAACTCAGGTTGTCAGGCTTGGTGGCAAGCATGGTTTTACCCCGAGTCACCTTGCTGGTCCTAATTCAGCATCTTTAGCAAAATCATTGCTTCAAGGACTGTTATACTGCTGGGGGATGGAATGGAACTTGGTTGTGACAGTAGACAATGGTCTCTTCATTCCTTTATGTTTCTTTACTGTGTCTGGTATGAGTGTAGCTATCACATCTGTGTGTGTGTGGGGGGGTGCACCTACACATGTGCAGGCATGTGGAAGCTGGAGAAAGGTGTTAGGTGTTTCCCCTCCGTCAATCTCTGCTGCCCACCTTATTACTTTGAGGCAGGTCCTCTTACTGAGCTGAAAGCTCACCCATTTTCCTACCCCAGCAGTGGTGTTACATGTAGGTATGCCTGGAACTCGGTTCAGCTTCTCATTCTTTGCAGAGCAAGCACTCTTACCCACGGGGCTCGCTCCAGCCCTGAATTCTGGGTTCAAAGAAACTAGAGGAGTCTTTTCAGTCCCTCTGGGGTATTCCTAGAACATTCCTAAGGGGCAGGTTTGGGAAGATGCGTGGGTCCCCTTCTATGGGGATGGTTGGTCATAGGTCCAAGTGGGTGGAGGGAGCAGAAGTGGGGAACAGGGTTTGCACAGATACGTTGGAGATGGCTCTCTGGTATAGGACTTCATTGAGACCACTCAACTTTATTCCAGAGCATAGGGAACATATAGGATTGGGATTTAGCAGGAATAATAAAAAAACAGAGACAGATATTGAGGTTCCAGCTGAAGATCAGAAAATCGAAGCAGCTTGCCATTAGCTCTTACCTCTACCAAGGCTGAGATGGGGACCCTGTCTTCCCTGTGACGGGACACTGAGTCTCACGTGAGACCCTTTGCTACTTCCTTACATACCTCTCTAGTGCTGGGATTAAAGGTGTGAGCTCTGTTTCTCTTTAGACTGATTCACTCTTGTGTAGCCCAGAGTAGTCTTGGATTCACAGAGATCCATCCATCTGCCTCTGTCTCCTGAGTCCTGGGATTAAAGGTGTGTGTCACTACTGCCCAGCTTCTATGGCTGTCTAGTGTGGCTGGCTTTGCATTCTGATCTCCAGTGGCTTTGTTAGATCATAAACAATATATTACCACATTGGAAAGCCTGGGGACAAACTCTAATTTGCATTAAGTGGCCTGCTCCTATCATATAGCTGGATAAGTGGAGAATGGCCCTGTCAAAATGGCTAGAGCATTAACCTAATTATCATGTGGGCATCAGGGGAAGAGCGTTTCCAAGGACCTATGTCAAGGGTCATCCTTGAGATAGGTTAGGCGTCTGAGCCCAGACATCCTCCCCAATAAGGTTACATAGAGAGCGGGAAGCCCCTGCTGGCATGGGTCAGGTGGAGGTGGGTTTGTCCTTCATGTTTCCAAGCTTGGAGATCGCTGACAGGCCATTGGTAGACTGTAACCTCTGATGAGCAGGGCCTCCCAACAAGATGGACCCATTTCTACAGACACAGGAGAGAAGGCCAAGAGGACCAGCCAGGCTAGGACCACACACAGAGGATCAGGGGTCAACTGGGGCCTGGACACTGGGCCTCCCTCCCTCACCCTGGCCTCTCTCCTGCTTTCGGTAAAGGTAGATGATGCCGGAGATGAAGCCATGGTTTGCACAGGTACCCAGTTCCATCTCTTGTTCTGAAGTCGCCAGTTCCCAATGCTCCACAGGCTGGGCCACCAGGCGTTCCCATGCTCCAGCCTGCTCCAGGGAGTCTAAGGTTGCTTCCAGCACCTCCTTGTAGGGAAGGTTGGATGGGTTGCTCCTGGTAGTCAGACATACTAGTCCACCTGAGAAGAGGGGGGAGGGGCTGGTGAGCTGGAGGAATACGGGGGAGCCCCTGCTCAAGACTTCAGTTCCAAGAGAGCTTTCTACCTCCAGGGTTTGGTGCTTAATGCTGTCTTCCCAGGAACCCCTTCAGTTTCCTCAACCTGATGGTCCCCTCACTTAAAAAAAAAAAAAAAAAAAAAAAAAAAAGTGCTTTTTCAGGTTGCAGATGAAAACATGGGCCTCAAACATGCTCAAAAAGACATTACAGCTGAGCCATGCCCCTAGCCCCTCACTGGGGGATTCTAGGCAGGTGCTCTACCACTGAGATGCCCCCCCAGCCCCTGGCTGGGAGATTCTAGGCAGGTGATTTACCACTGAGCCACACCCCAGCCCCTCACTGGGAGATTCTAGGAAGATGCTGTACTCCTGTGAGCTTCCATTAAACAAAGTTCCTGTTATGGGGTTCCTAGGTGAGTACTCTACTGCTGAGCTATAGCCCCAGCTCTATTATTTATTTATTGGGTTTTCAAGGCATGGTTTCTCTTTGTAGCCCTGGCTCTGTCCTGGAACTTGCTCCATAGACCAGGCTGTCTTCAAACTCTGAGATTTACCCGTCTCTGCCTCCCAATTGCTGGGACTAAAGGGGTGCACACCCACTGCCCAGCTACAGTTCTTTTAATTTGTTTTTGAGACAGAATCTTGCTAAGTTGCCCAAGTTATCTCTGAAATCACTGTGTAGCACAGGCAGGACTTGACTTGGAGATTCTGCTGCCTCACTATCCTTACTTAGTAGGTGAGATGACAAGTCTGTATTACTAGTCAGGTTCCTATGAATCCCTGTAATGCCCAAGTGTCCTTTACTCTGGGAATTTTTCACCTTGGTGGGGCCAGGGAGCTCCATGATGGCTGCTAACTCAGTCTCATTAAAAAGACAAGTCTGGGCAGACGAATCTCTGTGAGTTCGAGACCAACCTGGTCTACAGAGTGACTTCCAGGACAGGCTACAAAACTACACAGAGAAACCCTGTCTGGGAAAACCAAAGCAACAATAAAAAAGCTTTGGTCCTTGGGCAAGACCCTTCATTTCTTTGTGCCTAAGGTTTTTATGTTTGTTTTTTTGTTTTTTATAGGCATGGGGGTGGTGGTGATAATTTTCTCTAATAGAGCACATGTGTGTGTGTACATGTGTACACATGGGTGCGAAATCCATGGCTGACCCCAAGCATGGTGGTGGCCCAGGCCTCTTATCCCACCATTTAGGAGACTCAGGCAGGAAGAACAAAACAAAGTTTAAAAAAAAAAATGGAGATCTTATTTTAAAATCTTTCTTTTATTTTTATTTTTTGGGTTTTCATGACAGGGTTTCTCTGTGTAGCTGTGTAGACCAGGCTAACCTCAATCTCACAGAGATCCACCTGCCTCTGCCCCCTAAGTGCTGGGATTAAAGACGTGCGCCACCAACGCCCAACAGGTGGGACCATATCTTGATTGGGACTGCTTGCCTATATAAACTCCTGCCCCCTCTTTAAACCTAAATGCCATGTCAGGATAGGAAGATGGGTTTGGGGAGTGTGTGTGTGTGTGTGTGTGTGTGTGTGTGTGTGTGTGACTAGACTTCTTTGCTCCTATTCCCAAAAACACCACACTGACTAAATCTCCTTTCACTGTTTTTCATGATTACTTGGTTATTTATTTATTCATTCATTTATGAGACAGGGTTTCTCTATGTAGCCCTGGCTGTCCTGGAACTCTGTAGATCAGTCTGGCCTTCAAGTCAGAGATCTGCCTGCCTCAGTCTCCTGAATGCTGGGATTAAAGGTGTGTGCCACCACTGCCTGGCTTAGGCAGCATGGATGTAATTCATCTATTGGAGATGGGTGGCTGGGCCCAATTTGTCAGGGCTATTGAGGAAAAAAAAAAAAAACTGGGTGTGATGACCTAAAATTTTTTAAATTTTATATGCATGAGTGTTTGACTGCCATGTATGTATGTGTACCACACACATGCCTGGTGCAGGTGGGCACCCAAGAAGGGTACTGGATTCCCTGGAACTGTTATACATAGTTGTAAACTGTGATGATGAGGGTGCTGGGAATTGAACCTAGGTCCTCTGCAAGAGCACCAGGGATCATAACACTGAGCCTTCTCTCCATCCCAACACTTTAATTTCAGCACTCAGGAAGCAGAGGCAGAGGTAGGCAAATTCCTATGGGTTTGAGGCCAACCAGGGGTACATAGTGAGATCTTGTCTTTAATTAAAAAAAAAAAAAAAAGCCTGGCTGAGTCAAGAAGCACTGTCTTGGAGGGATGAGGCACTTTGGCCAGTATGGCTGGGTTCTGGCAGATGGGTTGAGGAAGGCCAGGATGCTGCTGCTGGCTGGGGTGGGTGGGGGTGGGTGGGGATGGGGGAGGTGTAGGGTAGTTGGGGGGGTGGGATGAGGTGGGTGGTGGTGGTGATAGGAGCTCAGGCTGGAACAGGAGAGTCTGTTTCATTTAGGTTCATGCAACGGGCATTTTGGGTGCTGCTGAGCCCAACCCATGCCACTATGGATGACCCTACCGATATCCCAGCTTTTGTTTGCCTCTTTGAAACAGAATCCTGCCTGGACATGCCTAGGTTTAGCTCCAGGAGTGGAGCTTGGGAGAGGAAGTATTTTTATGCCACAACTTCCTCATTCTGTCCTCAGGCAAGGCCAGGCAGACCCTCTTCTGGATCATTCTAATCTCTTCCCTTGTGACTTCTTCCAGGCAACTCCTTACCTCATTTTCTGTGAATGCCTTGCCCCCAACCCTTGAAAATGCAATTTCATTCTGAGAGTGCTGAGTCCTCACTCCCTTCTCTCACTGGAGCAAGTTCCAGGACAGAGCCAGGACTGTGACTACACAGAGAACCCTTATCTTGAAAACAAAAAAAGAACTGAGGATATAGCTCAGCAGGAGAGTCCTCACCTAGGAACCCCCATGACAGTTAGGGGACTTTGCTCAATAGAGGAGCACAGTGGTAGAGCCTAGAATCCCCCAGTGAGGGGCTGGGGTGTGGCTCAGTGGTAGAGCACCTGACTAGAATCCCCCAGTGAGGGGCTGGGGTGTGGCTCAGAGGTAGAGCTCCTGCCTAGAATCCCCCAGTGAGGGGCTGGGGCGTGGCTCAGCAGTAGAGCTTATGAGGGATTTTGGGGCACAAAGCCCATTTGAGGCTCTCAGTTCCATCTCTAGCACCACAAGAAGGAGAAAGCCCCAGGTTGCTCCACCTTGCATGAATAGACCTGGACCTATGCCAGGAAAGGAAGATTATCAGAAAGATGAGAGTAAGGGCGGTCCCCAAATCAGTAAGGGGACTGGAAGATAAAGCTGAACTGACTTCCACTGAAGCAAAGACCTCAGGGACATGGCTGCATCCAGCTGTCACTGTAGTCTGATGGGGAAGTGGACGAAGGCCAGAAGGGTGGGGCTCTTCCGAGTTGTTCCTGGATAGGTGAGCTGGCCACCTGTCTGGCCTTTTCCTGTGCCTGCTGCCTCTGTTGGTGGCAGCCAGGGTGGAGCACAAACTGGCAGATGGTGAACTGGGAAGCTGGGGGCGGGGTGGGGAGTGAGGGGGGTACCCTTACAAAATGCCCTACCCTTCCTCAGCCTAAGTGAGTCCAGGGTCTGTGTGTTGTGGAGAAGGGGGAAAGGGTGTACTTGGGGGAGGGGTTGGCTTGTGTGACTCACCTGGCTTGGTGACTCTTAAGAGTTCAGGAATGGCGCTGCTGGGCACCTGCCCCTCACTGAGGGCTCCCACTATGATCACAGCATCAAAGGTCCCTGCATGTGGAGTGGGTTGAGATGTGTGGCAATTACAATTGATCGTCAACTGGTCAGGATCTGGAAGACAAGTCTCTGGCCTTGTCTGTGAGGGTTGTTCTAGACTGAATTAATTTAGCAGGAAAGACCTGCCCTAAGGGAGGATGGCACCGTCCCATGGCTGGGGTCCTGGGCTGAAGAAGAAAGAGAACTCAAGTTGAGCACCACCAGCGTTCAACTCTCTTCGTCCTGGCTTCAGCTGCTTCATGTTCCTGATGCCATGACTTCCCCACCAGGATGTGGGGAACCCAAGTAAAACTCTCCTTCCCTTAATTTGCTTTAAAGTTATTTTATTTTCAATTAGCTGATCAATTTAAATTTTTATGTGTATGGGTGTCTTGCCTGAGTGAATGTTTGCCTTCGATCAGAAGAGGGCATCAGACATCACCCCTACAACTGGAGTTTCAGAAGGTTGGAGCAGCTATGTGGGTACTGGGAATTGAACTCAGGATCTCTGCAAAATCATCAAATGTTCTTTTTTTGTTTGTTTGTTTTTCGAGACAGGGTTTCTCTGTGGCTTTTGGAGGCTGTCCTGGAACTAGCTTTGTAGACCAGGCTGGTCTCGAACTCACAGAGATCGATTACCTCTGCCTCCCGAGTGCTGAGACTAAAGGTGTGCGCCACCCCCGCCCGGCCATCAGGTGTTCTTAACTGCCGCACTGTCTCCAGCTCGCTTTGTTTTCTGTTTTAATTATGAGTATGTGTGTATGGATGTGTGCACATGCCTGTAATGCCCTTTGGCTCTAGAAGAGGGCAGTGGCTCGCTTGGGGTAGGAGTTTGGGGCCATTGTGAGTTTGCCTGATGTGCATGCTGGGAAGAGGACTTGAGTTCTCTGCGAGAGCAGTATGAGATTTTAGCTGCTGATCCATCTGCGTGTGCATTCTACCGAGGAACCATCTCTCCTACCCTGTCGAGTTGCCCATGAATATAATGTAGTTTGGTCCTTGTCACTACCATTTCTCTCATCCTCCTCAGCACCTGCTACCCCTCCCCACCTTTTTTTTTGTTTTTAGTCTTGTGTTTTTCAAGATGCATTTCAGGCTGTCCTGAAACTCACCCTGTAGACCAGGCTGGCCCTGAACTCACAGAGATCCACCTGCCTCTATATTGGAGAATATTATTTTAAGGCGTGTGACTTTTGTTTATGGTTGTTTTTTTTTTTTAACTCTGTGAGGCTGCGATTCTTTGCCTGTCTAAAACACCTGATGGTCTAATAAAGTGTTGAATGGCCAGTAGCAAGGCAGGAGAGAGAAATAGGCTGGGCTGGCAGGCAAAAAGAATAAATACGAGGAGAAATCATGGGTGGGGGAGAAAGGCTCCGAGAACAGGAGAGTTAGGAGGAGGACCTCAGGCGCCAGCCACAGAGCCACACAGCCAGACAGGGAGGAAGATGGAAAGAAAAGGCATTCCAGAATAGAGGAAGATAAAAGCGCCAAGGCCAAAGACAGATGGGATACTTTAAGTTAAGAAAAGCTGGCAAGATCCTAAAGCCCTCATCTAGTAGCTGATGGAAACAGAAGCAGACACCCACGGCTAAACACTGAGCTGAACCCCTGGAGCCCAGTTGCAGAGAGGGAGGAGTGATGAGCAAAGGGGTCAAGACCAGGCTACAGAAATCCACAGACAGCTGACCTGAACAAGGGGAGCTCATGGACCCCAGACTGATAGCTGGGAAACCAGCATTGGACCGACCCAGACCCCCTGAACGTGGGTCTCAGTTGGAGGCCATGTGCAGTCTATGGGACCTCTGACAGTGGAACCAGGATGTATCCCTGATGCATGAAAGGACTTTGGGAACGAACACATTCCCCATGGAGGGATGCTCCCTTAACCTAAAGACAGGAGGGAGTGCCTAGGCCCTGCTCCAAATGACTTGACAGATTTTGATAGTCCCTCCTGGAAGGCCTCATCCTCCCTGTGGAGTGGGTGGGGAATGGGATGGGGGGAGGTTAGGGGGCATGGGAAGATGGGAGGGAGAGGGAACTGGGATCAATATGTAAAATAAGAAAAAATAATAATATATAAAAAGAAAGAAAGAGAGAAAGAAAGAAAGAAAAGTTGGCAAGAAACAAACCAAACTAAGGCCGGGGATTCCTAATGAAGAATAAGCCTCTGTGTGTGATTTATTTGGGAGTTGGGTGGTGGGCCCCTTAAAAAGTCACAAGAATAAAGCAACCAACTACACCTCTATCTCTTGAGTGCTGGGATTAAAGGCATGTATCACCACCACCAGCCTTGCTAGTTTTCATATCTTGTTTTGTTTGTCACCCACTGAGTTTAACTGGGGGTGGACTGCATGAGCTTGATGTGTGTGTGTGTGTGGGGGGGGGTTACTGGAGCATGGGCAACTTACCAGTGGCTACACCACTGGAGAAAATGATTGTCCCTCCCCCAGCAACTGCCTGTGGCTCCTTAGGTACGGGTGGGACCTCATGATTAAATTGCTTTTGCCTGGTATTTTGTCAGAGCAATAAGAAAAGGAATTAATAGACGGTGTCATGTATGCGCTGGGTCTAGTAGGACCTCAGGCACCTGTGGGACCCAGCCCCGTGCGTGCGTGAGATGAGGTGACTTCACCAGCCCTGCGCGTGAGATGAGGTGACTTCAGACTCTCGATTGGAAGGGAGGGCACAGTGGGAAGGCTCACTAAGAGTGAAGATGGAGGACGGACAGTAGGGGATATTCTCGGCAGTGTGGGTGAGGGTGGAGTGGAAGGGAAAAGTACCTTCAGGGTTGGGCAGCGGCTCCTGGCCCACAGTGCAGAGGCTGAGGCGGTGGTACAAGCCACGTGCCTGGGCCTGCTTCAGCATTTCTGGGCTCCCATCCACCCTGTGCACCTGGAGGAAGCCCCGAGCCTGCAGCTGGGAGAGAAGGTGACATCAGTCGTGGCTCATCCCCTGCCCCTGCTCAGTTGGGCCCTTGTACGTTGTGACCAATGAGCCAGAGACAGAGGATGGGTTCTTGATCAAGGAGTCCCAGGGAGTTAGATGTGGTGCCTCAGGCCTGTCATCCCAGCTACTCTGGAGGCTGAAGAACCCTAAATTCAAGGCCAGCCCAGGCAACTTAGTCAGACCCTCTCTCAAAATAGAAAGCAAACCGAGGGTGGCCCAGAGGGAGAGCACCTGCCTCGACTCCCCCAGTGAAGGTGGGGGCATGCTTTAGTGATAGAGTGCATGCACAGAATCCCTCAGTGAGAGGCCACTAGCCAGGGGCTGAGGGCTGCTGATTCAGTCAGTGGTAGCATGTTGGAGGCCCTGAGTGCAAAGGATCATCATATCAGAAGGCCTTACCTCCACAGCCACCAGGCCAGTGCCACAGGCCACATCCAGGATCAGGGCATCATGGGGTGGGCCCAGAAGGGCTTGGCTGAGACATTCCACAGCAAGGCAGGGGGCTCGGTACTTCAAAGCAGCCACATCCTGGAGACAGAGCACTTAGTCTCACACCCTCTAGTGCCCTAGTGTTTGGAGGAGTTATTTTGTCGGGTATCTACCTAGCTATGTGTTTTGGTTTGGGTCCTTCTGGGACTCCAATAATAGGAGACCCAGGCTTAAGCTGTCTTTTACTGTCAAGGGACCCCGCACCAGTTGGACTCCAGCTGGCAGAAACTGGCTACTGGCTGTGGCAGCTCTTAGCCGGTCTGTCTATATTAAGTGACGTTTCAATGGCGCCTCCTGCAGGCAGTCTCACTGTCTGGGTTGCCATTCTTCGCTCAGGGGATGTCCAATCCGGAGCTAGAGGGGTGCTTGGAGGCCAGTAGGTGGGCAGATCGCTAAGGAGCAGGTCTGGAAGGTTCTTTCCCAGGTCTCTTTTCAGCTCCCAGCTTCCCTGAGATGCACGGGCACTATTCTCGCTTTGCACATAGAAACACAGTCTGGGCCCACAAAATTCAAGGACCCACGTGCTTTCTTTCACCTGGTCGTACTCCGGGGCCCAGTTGTCATAGAAGCGGAGCTTGCAGGCCAGGTTGGTGATGCCGTGGGAGGCCCCGACCCGGGCCAGTACTTGGGGCAGCCTCCCAGCCTCCTCCTGAGTCATCCTCCTGTGGGGACAGAGCCCACCCTGTGACGGGGTTCACCAAAGCATCCCGTACTCCCTCACCTGGCGGAGGAGGTTACCAGAGCTCCAACGCCTTCCCACATCACATACAAGACTCTGAGTAGATGGCAGGAGCTGACTTGTACACCAAGGGTCTGTTTGTAGGGGGAGGAGTGGGGGTTGGAAGTATTCCCGCGCAGGGAATGAGGACTGCGCCTCAGCCCGCCACCACCCCCCCCCCCGGGCGTGGATCGGGGGGTCTTCCTCACCGCAAGGGTCTCCAAAGAGCAGAACGCTCAGAACTTATGCTAGGATTCCCCTTTTCCGGGGCAGATGGGCGGTGGAACTGGAGAAAGGGCGGCAGGGAGAGTCTGGCCCCGCCTCCACCACCAGATGATTGGGTTTCCGTGAGAGAAAACAACCAATCAAAGAAATGATCTGACAGTCCGCCCCCCTACTACGAGCCAAGGAGCATAAGGCTTTAGTCTTGCCCCCCCCCCCAATAGGTAAACAAATAGTTTTTAGAGACAAGATTTCTCAATGTAGCCCAGGATGACTTGGAATTCACAGAGATCCTCTTGCCTCTGCCTCCCAGGTACTAGGAATAAAGCCCTCTGCCGAGGCTCCAGGCTACAGTATTTTTTAAAAATAAATTATTTTTGGGTGATTGTGTGTGGCGGTCAGAGAACAACTTTTTGGAGTCTCATCTCTGCTTCCACTGCGTGGCTTCCTGGGATGGGACTCAAATTCTGAGGCTCGCCTGCAAGTGCCTTCACTTGCTGAGCCATCTCATCGACCCTGGTTTTTAATTTTATATGGTTTCATGTAGCTCAAGTTGGTTTAAACTTTCTATGTAGCCAAGGATGTCCCTGAACTTCTCATCCTTCTGCCTCTACCTCCCAAGTGCTGAGACTTCAGTGTTTTCATGGAACTTCCCAGGAGCACCTAAAACATCCTGTATAGGACAGGGATGTCTCTCAGAGAAGAGTGCTTGCCTAGGATGGATGCACCCACAGGTTCCATCGCCAACAGGACCAGAAGATAATAATGACTATCCTAGCTGTGGTGTATGGTGCATGTGATCATTCTTACACCACTCCCCCGATCTCAGTGGCATCCACAATGTAAGTCTGCAACTTATTCTAGAATATTGCAGGTGGGTGTGGAGGACCCTGCCTCACACACACATTGGCAATCCAAGCCCCTTCATCCGGTGACTCCATTGTCTTTGGAGTTTTGGAAATGCCTCCAAGAAAGGTCATATAGATAACCATGCTCCAGATGTGCTCGGTGAGCATCCGATTTCTGTGCATGTGGCACACCTCCATGACAGGAATTGTCCAAAACTCCAAATCCTTGCTCAGGTCTCAATTCCCACTTTTACAGCGTTAAAAAAAAATTATTTGGAGCAGTGTGGTGTGCCACAGGGCACATGTGGAGGTCCGAGGACATGGGACTTCGATCCTTCTGCCTCTGCCTCCTGCATGCTGGGATCACAGTGTGCACCACACCACACTTTGCTGATGTGGTGCTGGGGATGGAACCCAGGACTTCATTCATGCTAGGCACACACTCTACCAACTGAGCTCCACCCTAGCATGCAGAAGGTACGCCTGGGTATTGCTAACCACCTACTCCTAGTCCTTAGTCACTAAGGTACCACATAAGTCAATACATGGGGGCTTCTAGACTGGCTCAGTCCATCCAGACATAGCATTTGTATATGTGATGTTATATGTTTGTGTGTTTTGCAGTGTGTGTATGTGTATGCACACATATGTATGGAGAAAAGATGTCTATGTGCCTTCCTCAACCACTTTTCACCTGCATTACCTAATGTGGACTGGGGCCCATGATGAAGATCTCTGTAACCCGAAATGAACTGAACCTTGAGGTCACTGGAATTAGTGAAGCCATTCAAATGGGGGCAGAAATGACAGTGGAGTTTACAGAAGCACAAGGGAGGTCATTGCAAGATGGGAGGTTGAAAACCACAAAACAATGGCAATGAGCTGAGCCAGACCAAGTAGAGAGAGTTGCCCATCTGCGTGGGACATAGCAGTGGGTTGGAAAGCTCTAGGAAGACATTGTGCTACCTAGCATACTGACACTATTGGACCTGGCCATGGAGAAACTAATGTTCCCACGAGAACCATGGCTCAGAGTCCGCTGGCGGCAGGATGGGAGAGACTGTGGAAATTTGACTCTGGGGCTGCAGGATTCTAAGGACTTAACCCTTTGTTGTTGTTTTGTTTTGTTTGTTTTCTATCCTAGATCTCATTCTGTAGATCAGAATGTCTTGGATTCAGAGAGATCCACCTGCCTTTGCCTCCTGAGTGCTGCTGGGATTAAATACTTGTGACAGCAGTATTTAATCCCAGATGGCAAAGATGGATTTTCAAAGTGTGCAGAGAGAGCCATTACCCATGAGGCTCAATGACTCAGAGTGAGAGATGTCTCTGCTACCCTGTTATCTGTGCACAGTCAGATGTTTGCGCCAGCACTCTGTGACCACAGCAGTTGATCGGGTGCTAGAGACCGAGTTTGTACAAGGTTCTGAAAGAGGGGTGGGGCAGATGGAATAGTGCCCAGTAGACCTTAGCCTTCCATGGTGTTTTTGTTGTTGTTGTTTTGTTATTTTTTGGCCTGGGGCACATTTGGGGTGGGAGGTGTTGCAGGCTGTGAGGGAACCCAGATTTTGGAAGCAGCATCCACACTCCATAGTGGAATCTGCCCTACTTACCGGGTATGAGTTGAGTATGTGGGGACACCATCAACTTCTACAGCACATGAAGGAATGGTGTATGGCAGGCTCCAAGGAGGGACTATGTTCTTCAATGTAGTCTGGGGTTCAATGATGCCATCAGGGAGCCAGCCATGTCACTGTCCCTCTCTGTCTCACCTTGTACTCCCAAGCCTTGGTGCCCAGTCTGTCAACTCATCATGCTGGGACTTTACTCTCCAGGACAAAGGGAGAGTTCTGGGCTTGGTGGTATATACCTGAGAATCATCATTGCGGAGGTTAAGATAAGAGGATCGTGAGTTCAAGGCTGACCTGTGTTATGTCACAAGAGTGTGCTATTAAAAACAGAAGGCAGGGTGAGGGAAAACAGGGAACTTGGCAATGTGAATCTAGTCCTACCTGCCAATCACCATGCTGAGCCTTCTACTATGGCCCATTAGCCAGAGAGTGCTCACTGGCCTAGGCCTGGGCATTTGATGGTCGTGAGCTAGCAAGGGAAGCTGGAGACAAGGCAGGTTGTCATTTCCACCTTGTCTGCACTTGAACCAATCAATTAGAGCTAGACATGGTTTTTCTTTCTAGATTATCATTCTATATAATATATATGCAATTATATAAATGTGTTACATTCAATGTGTATATATGGGTACCCATATGGAGGAAAGAAAAGAGATTCTTTCCAATGGCATGGCTTTGTTTGCTCTGGACTGGGGACTTCAGGGGACTCTGCTGTCCTGGGCTCAGAATGCAGAGACCCATGGCTGGGGGTCTAGCTTGGAGGACCTGATCAATCTGAGAACCCTGATAAAAATGCACATATACAAGCGTGTGATCGTAAATCTAGTGCCATAAAGAAAAAAACAGGTGAATCCACAGGGCTTCCTGGCCAGGAGGTCTTGCATAGTGGATGACCTCTGGTCCAATGAGAAACCTTACCTTAAAGGAGATAGATGGCATCCTGAGGATGACATCAGAGGAAGTCCTCCTCTGGCTTTCTGCACTGCCCCCCCACCCCATCTAAGGATGCACACACACACACACAGGCACACATGTACACACGCGCACACACACGCACACACAGGCACACACCTGCACGCACACATGCAGAGTTTTAAAAAAGGCAGTATAGCCTTGTCCTGAGGTCACATGATCAGAAGCTCCTCCCTGTGCCCCACCCCTTGTTATGGCCTCATTTACCCTCAATCTATATCCCCAGATGTCGGTGTCAACTGCTGTCCTCACATTTTGATGTGAACATCTGCTTCTATGGAGGTAATTGCTGCTGTGGATGGAGTCTCTGTCTGCTTTTGCGTCTCTTTGCCTCCATGAAAGACTTTCTCTGGACACTTCAGATGTCTCTCTGCAGCTCAGCCCAGATTCCCACCATCTCCCCATCCTGACTACAGTGACTCTGGGCCATGGCTCTAAAGGCACTAACTACAGTGGGTCGCCATCTCTGAGCAGAATGGGCTGGCTGGGGGCCCTTTGGAGTTGTGGGATGCCCATGTGAAATGGGGCAATGTTTCCAAAAATTTAGTTTATGGATTTATGGCAAATGTGCTAGGTTCCAAGTCTATGTGGCATGCAAGGACCATGGCTAATGGGTCTCATTAGCTCAGGGCCAACAGGTGTCTCAGGTCCTCATGGGCATCTGTATAATGGAATGGGTTTGTTGCTGTGTATGTTTGAGGTTGAGTGCAGTCATGGCTGCCTAATGATGGAACTGATGCCATGATTGTAAGGTGGGTGGGAGCCTTGATCCTGGTGCTAGCCTGCAGCCAATGGTATCCATGCCTTGGAGAACATACAACTTCATCTACGACTGCTGCAATCCACTGCTGGGCTCCATGCAGAAAGCAGAGCTGGGTATTTGACTCTACCCAGGCTGGGCCAGCTCTACACCGCTGATGCCCTGCCCTTGTGCAAGCCCTGCCCTTGTGCCAGACCAGAAGGTGGGCATCTCTCTACATGTTGGGTTTGTTTACCCTCGAGCTCAGCTCAGACCATGTTCTAGAGTGCCTGAGCTGTCTTGTGACCAAAGTCATGGGATGGCTGTAAAGCTCATTTAGCAAAGCAATCACTGGTTTCTACAAAGATTCTTCAAGGTCAAAGTATTTCTAAAAAAACAGCTCTTTGTTCTAATATCTACCCCCATACACTGATTCTGCTGAAGTCCTACAACCACCATATCTCAGTGTCAAGTGCTGATGCTGACAATGTGTCTGACTCCAAAGAGACCTGATTCTCAGGACAGCTTGCTGTGGAAACATTGAAAATCCACCTCCAGCCCTTTGAGTCCTGCAGCTGAGGGCCAGATCTGTTCTGTCTTCTGTGTCCGGAGTCCAGCAGAGAGTGAGCCATGGCTCCCCTGGAACTGGAGGCAGCCAGTTTCTCTCTGGCTATGCTGGCCTGGATAGGCACCATTGTGTGCTGTTGGCTGCCCAAGTGGCGTGTGAAGGAAATTTCTGAATGCACAGTCATTTGGGAGGGCTTGTGGAACCTGTGTGAGGCTGACAAACTCCAGAGCCTGAAGTGCATGATGTACAACTCCCGCCTGGTACAGCCACATATCGCGGTAAATAAGGATCAGGATAAACAAATAGGCCGAATAGATGTTTATTCAGGGAGAAATAACTTACAACTAGACAGATGAACACCAGGAAATCCAACCTGATCCTCTCCTGTCCGAGTCACGCCAGAAAGAGAGCGCCTTTCCTGGCCCCCTCCGACCTCCTTCCACAGGTCACTCCGCCCATGGCTCCACCCCCAATGGGCGTGGTCAGTGCCACAGAACTCTCTCCCTACAGCCACAGGACCTGCAGTTGCCTCAAGGTCATCTGCATCATGGTCACCTGGCTGGGTTTGCTGCTGTACATGATCAGAGATGAACACATCACGTGTGTCAAATATGAAGAATGAAGAAAAGATCATGATGGCGGCAAGTGTGTTGTTCCTGGGGTTTGGTCTGCTGCTGCTGGTGTCTGCGTCCTGGGTAACACATGATGTCATCCTTGGCATTGCCAACCTTCAAACAGTCTCCCAAAGGAAACCAGAGATGGGAGCCTCACTCTACCTGGGCTGGCTCAGCTCCCTGCTGCTTCTGCTGGGAGGGGCCCTTCTGGGAGCGGCCCACCTGTGGTGCGAGGTCCCAACTAACAATGACAGTCCAGTGTTCCAGAGGGTTCCAACAGTGACAAACCCAGTGCTTCTGAGGGCTCTGGGGAAGGGCCCTCCTCAGACAACAGCAAGCACAAGGTGGGCCCATCTCTGTGTTTTGGATTTGTTTATCTATAGTCAGCTCAGGCCACCTTGTGACTTGCTCTGTCGCTGTTTCCCCCTGACTGAAACATCTTTGGCCGGATGGACGAAGGGGAACCAGGAAGCTCCAAGACTCGAGTGCCCTCTCAGCCTCAGTAAGCTACAGCTGGGAATACAAGGGGAGAGAAACACCTCCATTGGAGCGGGCTGCAAACAGGCTGGGCAGGGGGCCTCCTGGATGCAGTTCTCACGAGTCAGCACAATGTTTGGGGCAATCCCTGTGGCAGCAGCTCCCTGAGTCACCCATGACCGTGGAACCCCAATAAAGTCACTGGTCCCTTAAACTGGACTGGGAGGGAGTCATTTCATGATCTGCCCGTGCCCTCTGTAGTGGGGTGACTAGAATCAAACTAAAGGTTAAAGAGCTGATACTAGGGTGTTAGTGCCAGAGTCCCTGGCTGTGACTGGGCCATGCTGCCACCAGCTTGGTCCCCCCTGAAACCCTCCCAAAAGTCTTCTTGTCACAGAGTTCACCTCTGAAATTACGCAGTCTGCGTCCCTGGCACCTCAGCCACTTGCTTGCAGAAGATAAACCTCGGTATTGGAAACCGCCTTCTCCTGGCTGGCAGTCGCTGTGGTACTATGGGAACATGTAAGTCAGCCCATGGAGATGGTGTGTGTGTGTGTGTGTGTGTGTGTGTGTGTGTGTGTTCAGTGCAGGGTTGAGACAGGGTCCGACTGTGTGGCCCTGCTGTGTAGACCAGACTGGATCTGTACGCTCAGAGCTCTACTTGCCTCTTCTTTTATATTTGTAGAATCCAGATCCCATGGAGCAAAGGGGGTGGGGGCAGGCCCTGTCCTGGAGGCTGAGTGAGGAATTAAAGAGCCCTGGGCTGTGCAGATAAAGGGACTCTTTCTTTGAGAAGTTAGGGAAGGGTAGGTTTGGGGTACTCCATGGATCTGGAAGGACTTCTAGGCCTGTGTAGAATCTTCCAGGCAACAATGGCAGAGAAGGTATAGAATTCTCAGTCCAGGGCTCCAACCTCCTGAATTCCTGTGAGTTGAGCCTTTTCAGTCTGTGACACAATGAGCCATCCAGCCAGTAAGCACCCGAGTTTTGGCTGGTGTTGGGGAAGTCACTTTTATCATTTGTAACTTCCTTTTTTTCTTTTCTCTTTCTCTTTTCATGACGGAGAAATCCTATGGAATCCCGAGCTGTTCTGGGAGGTGTGACCATCCTGGGGCTGCAATGACTGGTGTCACCTGCCAGGCTTTTTAGTTTTTAAGATAGGATCTCTTGTTCGGGGTGGCCTTGAGCTGGTTATCTCTGGGGATGCACTTGAACCCTCATTCTCCTGCCTCCACCTCCAGAGTGCTGAGATAGATACAGACGTGTGTTCCTTTTCTGGCACGTGGGGTCCTGGGGATGGACACCAGGGCTTTATGCATGTTAGGTCAGCACTGTCCCATTGAGTGACATTCCCACCCTCCCCAGGGGTCTCTCTGATAAGCTGAGCCATGAGATCAGGAGGGAGGTCAGGTTGGAATAGATGGAGGGGTGGAGCGTGACTGTCCCTTTGTGTGAGGAGCCAATGGCCTGGGTTGAGTCATGGGAAAGGCTGAGTAGGATGCAGGATGTAGGTAAGGATGCCTATGATGATGGGTAGGTTAGGAAGTACATGCAGCTCCTGGAGTCCTGGAGAAGTCACAGTCAGCAAGGAGCCAAAGGATGTCTTGATAGTCACAGTGGGGGGCTAGAGACCCCCATGTTGTAGAGGAGCCATCAAGAGAACATAGAACTGAGCATGGATGGCATGGATCCAGGGCCTGTGTGCACTCCCTAACGTGGGTGTGTCCACTGGGGCCTTTGGATGGAGGACAAAAGTAGAACACCCATCGACCAGAACCCTAAAAAAAAAATCTCATGCGTCACACTCCGTGAAGATGGCTCCATATCCCTGTCACAATGTGGAGCCAATGATGAAGGTCTCTGTGACCTCAAATGAAGGTTCATGGTGGGTTCCTCCTCATCAGTGCCACTGTCCTGTCACATGAAGGAGAAGCGAACTTTCCTGTGTGAACAGTGAGATTGACATTTGTCTAATACACTGTCAAACCGATTGTACACAGTAATCCTTTCTCCTTTTAAATTTTTTTGTATGTATAGTGGTGTGAACAATGGCTCCCCATAGTCTCATATATTTGAATGCTTAATCTCAGTGGAGTGGAACTCTTTGGTAGACTCAAAAGGATTAGGAGATTTGGCCTTGCTGGAAGAAGTTTGTCAGTGGGGATGGGCTATTAGTTGCAAAGGCCACGCCAGGCTCAGGTTCTCTTTCCCTCTGAGGATCAGGCTGTGTCTCTCAGCTCCTGCTCCAGCGTCGTGTCCCTTCAGGATGATAAATCCTCTAAAAGTGTAAGTAAGCCCCCAATTTTTCTTTTATAAGAGAGGCCTTGTGTTATGAGTAGATTTTCCCTGCCGGTCTGGTCCCACCGCCGCACCAGCCTCAAATAACACACAGAGACGCTGCAGTAGATATAATTCTGTTGGCCTGTTACTATCATTTCTTATCGGCTAGCTCTGTCTTAATTATTAACCCATTTCTATTAATCTAAGTACTTCCACGTAGTCTCATCTTACCCAAGAGAGGGGCTGGCGTTCTGCTCTCTCTGTCCTCCATCTTGGATCTCTTCCCTACTACTTCCTCTCTCTTCCTAGTCTCCTAGTCCTGCCTATCTTGCTTTCCTATTGGCCAACAGTGCTTTATTTATTAACCAATAAGAGAAACATATTTACAGACTGACATCTCCCATCAGCCTTGGTCATGGTGTCTCTTCACACATACAGAATGTTGACTAAGACAATGTGTGTCTGTGTATGCATGGGTGTCCAGGTATATATGCATGTGTGCATGTGTGTGCCCACTCATGTGGAGTCCAGAGGTGAATTTGTTACTCTTCCAGATGCTATCTATGTTTCTTGTTTCCCCAGACAGGGCCTCATTATATGGCACTGGCCCTGGCTGGCTTGGTACTTGCTGTGTAGCCCAGTGTGGGCATTCAAATGAAGATGGCTCCCATAGGCTCAAGCTTAGTTCCCAACTGGTGGAACTATTTGAGAAACCAAGATTTCCGAGCTTAATATCCAAGCTCCACACCTGAATTTATCCTGCTCAAAACAAGTAAGATGAGTATGATAGGGACACACAGGTGTCCATATCCTTCCTTCCTTCCTCCCTTTCTTTTACAAATTTATTTATTGTATATATAGTATTCTATCTGCATGTAAGCATGCAGGTCAGAAGAGGGTACCAGATCTCATTACAGATGGTTGTGAGCCAGCATGTGGTTGCTGGGAATTGAACTCAGGACCTCTGAAAGAGCAGCCAGTGCTCTTAACCTCTGAGCCATCTCTCCAGGTCCCTTCCTGTGCTTCCTTTTACATGGGTGTTGGGTTCTGAACTCTGGTCCTCATGCTCACGTAGCCATACATTTTAGCAGTTGAGTCCCTCAGATGGGCTTTGGGCCAGCTCTCCCCACTTTTCACAAAATTGTTGGCTTACGTGCTGGTCTGAGCAGGGCTGAACAAAATCCTTTTCTTTGGAGCTGTGTGGGGAGAGGGAGGACTGTGTGTGGAAGCAAAGGGGTAGGTGTTCCTTTTGTGGCTCGGTCACCTATTAACCCATGTGTTTTTGCTATTCTTCTCACAGCTGTGACAAAATGAGTGACAAAAAACGACTTCAGGAAGGAAAGGTTTACAGTGGCTCACAGTTTGAGAGCATATAGTCCATCATGGCGGGGAGGCATGACTGGAGGAGCAGAGCGTGAGGCAGCTGGCCACGTGGCATCCAGTCAGGAAGCAGAGAGAGATGGGTGCTGGAGCTCAGCTCACTTGATCCTTTTTATTCAGTTTGAGGCCTCAAAGCATGAAAGGTGCCTCCAGTTGGTTAACTCTAGGTAACTCTTTCACAGGCATGCTGGGACTTTTGTTGCCATGGCAATTCTAAATCCCAGCAAGTTGACAAGATTAGGTGTGTTACTTCAGGGGACCTGGCTGTCTCTGAGGATGCTCACCATCAGTGCTTCTTGGAACATCCCCATGTGGGGTGGAGATGGTGGCTGGTCCTTTATATATTTTGGCATTGGATTCCCATTGAGGTGAGAGGTCTAAACTTCCCCCATTTCACAACCAGATCTAGGTTTTAGTTTCTTATTTCGAAATAGGGTTTCTCTGTGGCTTCGGAAGCTGTCCTGGAACTAGCTCTGGCTTTAGTGGACCAGGCTGGTTTCGAACTCACAGAGATCTGCCTGCCTCTCCCTCCTGGGAGTGCTGGGATTAAAGGCCTGTGCCACCGCCTGGTAGTAGGTTTTAGTTTAAGAACAAACAAGTTTGTTTTGGTTTTATTTTCCCCAACAAAGGGCCACTAGTCAACAATGCCCCTGACAGCAGGGATGAGGAAGAGATGGCTGAGAGGAGGCCTAAGCCAGCCCCACAGTATCTGAGGGTGGTTACCAGGAGAAGACTGCTCCTGAAATCCCCCCAAACATGCCCTGACTTATCCAAGTGTGTCCAAAGATGAGAGAACTAGAACTCCAGCCTATCAAAAGGTACCAATATAACTGCTGCCTGCTTAGCCATGTGTGTTTGGTATGACCTGACCGTTCCCGGAATTCCCCCAGCTATGCTTAAAAGGAGCCTGCATACTCCTCTCACGGTTGCCGTTTTTACAAATGGTTGGCCCCGAATGCTGGATGTTTCCGTAGGAAAAACAATCTTTGTTTTTGCTTATTATTGGAGTCTGGGGTCTTCGTCAGCGTTTCTTGGACTCTTTCAGAGGCTAATAGCACCTGATGAACACAGGATGAATGAGGTCTGCTGACCACCTCTCTAGCACCTTGGGCAGCAAGTCTAGCCTAGTCAGCAAAGGTCCAAGGAGAGACCCAGACTCAAAAGAGGTAGACAGCATTCCTGAGGGTCACACTGGTGGTGGCCCTCTGGTACCCACATGCATATGGATACAAACATGAACTCATAGACACACTTGTTTACATGTGCACACATATGTACACACACATGCACATGCATGCACACACATACACACACATACTCATTTAAAAAGAAGAAATGTATGGATCTGATATGGGGTCTGGGACTGAAGTCCCTCCCTCTGCTCCTGCCTCTGCCCCACACGGATACTGAGTCGGTTTCGATGGATTGCTGTGGCCATACTTGCCAGCTTGGCTATCAGACTTGAGATTTACACTCATTGGTGTTGGAGTCCCTGAGTGGCTTTGACCTCCCAGGCAAGGCTTCCTCAATCCCTGTCTAAAGTGCATTATCGGCTTTTACAATCCTGCAGCTCAGAGCTGGATCCCCCCAGTTTCCCTGTCCTGACTCTTGCCTGCTACTGTAGCTGGCTGGTCAGCATCTCTCAAGGCTGCACAGGTCTGGCTTGTTTCCACTGTGAGCTGTGTACTGCCCAGATGGTGGATGAAGAATTTGTAAAATGAGATGGCCATAGCTGTCTATGTTTGGGAGGGCTGGTGGAAGATTTTCAAGTTTCAAGGACGTGGCTGGATGGAGTGCAGGTATAGGATTACCAGGCATCTCTGCCACAGAACATACAGGGTTGCTATGGCCATCTGCAGCATTGTA